AATCGATAAATTATTTACTGTCCAGTTGTTTTGTTGTTATTCTTGTTTAACATTACAGTGAATTAAAAATCACCTTTAAAGTTAATAACAAAATTTTTTTGATTATGAAATCGAATCGAACAACCGAAACACAGTGATGCGTAAATTTCTTTCTTTGTTTTGCAAGCTGACAATAAACTTTAATGGCCTATTGCATTAAGAGAATGTGATTACTGAGGAAGGGAAGGTGAAAATTGTTTATTTCTTTATTTCACCTTCAAATTGTAATCAAAGTTTATCAATTAGGATTTTTATTTAGATTTTCGGATTTTTAATACAAATAAGTATAACAGAAAGCAAGTAATTGACATACTTAAGTTATTCAATTTTAAATTATTATTTAATCTCCAAATTTTAATATTTGTAGTTGTTAATAAAAAAAAAAAACATGAAAAACAAGGAAAAATTGAGGTTAATGCATTTTTGGGAATTATGTAATTTTTTTTTATATGTAAATCATAAAAGGGTGGCAGGAGAGAGGAAGAGAAAGAGAAAGAATGAGAAAGAACATTGAAAATTGGTTTCCGCCTACGTCACTAACATAAGTTAAGAGTAAGACTCGGAATCTAAATAGGAGTATTCAAAATACTTTAGCTTCTCCAATGTTGCATTGTTCATATTGAATGTGCATATTGATTTTATTACGATTTGGATCAATTTTTTAGCAAAAGAGCCAGAAGCGGCTCATTTTATTTAGTCACTGAGAATGGTTCACGATGCATTTATTCAGTCAATGAATTGAGAAATTTGTTAAATAAAAGATTAGCTCTGGAATATATAAAACGTACCCAATTTATGTGTATATAATTATCAAAATGTTATAAAACAATTTTCGTACGGTGTCAGTACATATAAGTCTCGCCAAAAAATTTTTGTCAACACCTTGGAAAGTAAGAATTAGCTGTAAGTTAAAGTATAAAATTGTTTTAAAGAGAGATGCTACAAAAATCTTCCTATAATATTCACTACAACAGTGGTGAATACAACCATACCACAAAACCACAGCATACTGTACTAATTAATAAAATTTAATATCTTTAATTGTGAATTTTAATAGAATGAAATTTAATTCAAATATTTTAATTACATAAAAATAAATAATAATTTCAATGACTAAAATAACAATTTATTACTCGGACATTTAATTTTCTATTTTTGTTTTGGTTTTTAATTATTTTCATTTAAGTTTAAATCTATATCTGCTATTTAAATTAATTTTTAATAACCTGCTAGGTTACATAAATTTTAATGAGAAATAATAAGTAATAGCACCACGCTACAATAACAAAAGAAGAAGAGGAAAAAAACAACTGGAAATTATTAAATTTATGAAGTTCAATAAACTTTTGCACAATTATTTTTAAAAACAAAAATTTATTTATATTGATTAATTAATTACATTATGTTGCTTTTGAATTGTTTTATAACCGGTTTTGGAACAATAGCGACACCTACAATTAATTGTTATTCTTAAAAATTTTTTTTAAATTTTTTTTATACTTTTGATTATTGAGGTGATTAATTTGGAATCCTTTACAATTGAATTGTTAGTAGACCGAAACTTTGAAATATTTCGAAACCTCCATTTTGAATTTTCAATATAATGTAGCGACTGTATTTGTTGTATTTGATATATGCTTTTGTTGAGTAAACTTTTACCATTTGGATTATTTAATTGGAGTAAGAATTATAGTCAGAATCACATCTAAAATCAGAATCAGAGAATGAGTCAGAATAAGGGTCACAGAGTCAAATTCAGAGTCAAAGGTTCAGTTTCAGAATAAGAGTCAGAGTTAAGAGTCAGAACCAGATTCGAAATCAAAGTAGGAGTAGGAGTCAGAGACACATTCGAAATCAGAGTTGAAGTGGAAGTCCCGCATTTCCACCTGCTGTCTGGGCACGGGAAATAATTTGTGTATTATATATTCATTTTTAGTGTATTGATGTGAATAAAAACGTGTTTTGCCATAGAAATTCCAATGACAGAGCCACATCTGGCCAGTTCATCCTTCCTTTCATTTCCTACTATATTATTATGGTGGTCCGGAACCCAAAAAATGTAACACTACATGGCGAGCACACACCCCCGCCAGCTCGGGCAGCACTGGCCACTCTTCCCAACAGGCAGACCCCTCAAGATCTCGCATGTTCTCGGAAAAGGGCGAAACCATCCGCATATATACTTGCACAACACCTTACTAAACTAAATATTTCTTAATAAAAATTAATTTTTGGCTGAATTTTTAAAGTTTATTGTAAGTTAACTAGTAGCCATTGAATTTTAACTCAAAATCCTTCAAATATAAAACTAAATTCATTTGAAAATTTATTTCCAAGTTGATCTTACAAAAAAAAATTTTAAATTATGAATCAATTTAACGTATAAAAGTTCCCATATTTACGATAATACTAAACATTTCACTGGAAACAAAAACAAAAAAAAAACTTATTTAATCTGAAAAATTTAACTTAATCTTGAAATTATTTAAAATATACTTAGACTATTCATTATCATTATTATATCATATATCTGCAATGTGATATTAAAACAGACATGATTAATGGTATATCTATATTTAACATCAAAAAATGTTGTAACTCATAAAAGTTCATAACGCGTTTAATGAAAAAAAACAACAACAATACGTCAAAATACCAAAAAACAAAAAAAAAAAATTGATGGTTAAACAAACGGAACTTGATAAAAGAGTACATAGAAAAGAGAAAGAAAACAATATGTTTTGATTAACATAAATAAGAGTGTATGTGTTTGCATACATACGTATTTATTTATTATGTATGTATGTGTAACGAAAATAGTATAGGTAATTAGGAAGATAACAGTTTTCTTTTTCTTAAAAAGCTCATCAATAAGTTCATAAACAACAAGTTAATTTTTTTTTCCTATAATTTCATTACCATTCATTCCTTAACCGTTATATTGATATACATACGCGATTAAGTCATAAAGCAAATGAGTGTGATAAACTTTTATATTATATTAATGTACGACTATAGTATACTAGATGTACGACTATAGCATATAATTAACCATTATATGCTATAGTCGTACATCTAGAGCTTACAACACTTATTTAAAATAAAGTTATTAATATTAATAGAGTTGAGGCATGTACTTGCTTACCTACATATAAATAAGCTAGCCTTCATGTTGTCAAGAAAAAAAAATACATTGCACACATTTAAAAACACATTATTTAAATCGAAAAAGAATTTCAAACGTTTCCATTGCGTGTGAAAGAAAAACAAAAACAATATTTTCTTTTTCATTAATATTTACTTTTTATTTTTAAAAACATTGATAAAACAAGAGTATTCATTATCAATTCCATATTTTTGGAAAGTAAGCAATATTACTAAATTACCATATAAAATTTCTATTGTTGTCAAATGTGGTGTGAAATTAAGATCGTTTATCGAAACTTGCCCAGCTGTCATTTTTCGATACAAAACTGAGAACGATTTTGTCATATTATTCAGACGATTTTCCATATTGTCCCGCGTTTTGTTCGACGATTTGCACAATAAAAATTTAGAATATTGAAAAATTTAGAATGTACAGAATAGTAGCGAGTCAACATAATATCAAGCCATCAAATGCCATTTGGCAAAACTGCAGATCTGTCTACTATCGAATAGTTTCGAAGCAACACGAATTGCTTTTATGAAAATATACTATAAATAGTTGCAATTTTGGTATTACTTACCCTAAGATTCTAGATCTAGTCTCTGTCTTTTTTCACTAAAAATTTCTTATTAAAGTGGCAACATTTAAATTGTATAAGCAATATGGCAATATCCAGAGCAATATTTCCAATTTGCTTAATTGCATGTTAGAATTATTTAACTCAATTTCCCTAAATATAACACTTAAAATATTATTCCTAAATTTTCTACTATGCACTAAATTAAACATATTACTTATATAAAAAAAATAAATAATGTGATTCAGTGTATTCTAACGTTTTAATTAATAAAACATTTAATAAAAAAAGCAATTAAGATATTACCTATTAACTGTATAACTCTTAGATTGCCGCCATTTTACTTAATTTATTTAACGGGTTCGTATCATGTCAAACACAGAAACGGGTAAAAGGGTAATTATCTACTGGGGGATTTTTAAAATTTATTTAATTACATTATAATTTTCCTAAGCCAAACAAATGTAGTACAAGAATTAAACAATCAGAAAAAAATGAAATAAGAATTTAAGTAGAAGAATGAAAGAGACACACAACAGAAGAATATCAAGAAAATTGAACAAAAAAAAAAACGTAAACAAATTCAGAAAAAAAGAGAAAAGAAAAACAGTTTATCAGGTTAGTGGAGGTGAATTGTTTGTTTTAAGGTTATGTTTTGTTTACCATATGTCACCATTTCTTTTACGTGATTTTTTGTTTTCTTATTTCTTTCTCTTTATTTAGTAAGTATAATTCATTCGTTCGTTTGTCTGTTCAACGGTTCATTCGTTATATTTATATATCTTGTGCCATGCTGCTACTAAAACTTTAATTGTTTTAATTCAATTTTCTTTTATTTCTCAAAATATTTTCACGTACGTTTTCTCTTTTACCTGACTATACGAGTACAATAATACAATGTGCTGTCTAAAATTACAATATTCAATTTCTTTCTCTCTATATCCCAAATTGAGTTAATAAGGTTAGATAATGACATTTAATTTAATTGTACAATAAAATTTGTGAATTTTAATTTTGAAAATTAAATCTTAATTAAATTTTTAATATTAATTATTTAATTATTTTAGGTATACTGAAAAAATAATGAGAAAATTAAAATTTATTAAACAAGTGTCAAAATTAACAGTTGATTACTAATAATTGTCATTGTTTTGCAAAAATTTTTCCAAAAATTCTTAAAAAATTAATATTACCATCTTATAATTTCTGAATAAAATCTACTGTTTCCATTTTCAGAACGCAACCTCAAAAAACAGCATGCCAAGCAATGGTTGATCAACGTTGCTGTTGGACACGTGGTAAAGTTATCGGTGGTAGTTCTGTTCTCAATACAATGTTATATATACGTGGTAATCGAAGAGATTTCGATCAATGGGAATCTTTTGGAAATTACGGTTGGGGTTATGATGATGTTCTACCATATTTTATAAAATCAGAAGATAATCGGAACCCGTATTTGGCAAAAAACAAAAAATATCATGGAACAGGTATGATTTAAATTCTGAAATTATGTAATATTTAACTAACTTTTAAAATAATAAAACTTTTTAGGTGGACTATGGACTGTACAAGATTCACCTTATAATACACCATTGGGACCGGCTTTTGTACAAGCTGGTGTCGAAATGGGTTATGATCATGTTGATGTTAATGGTGGACAACAAACTGGTTTTGCATTTTATCAATTTAATATGAGACGTGGAGCAAGAGCAAGTACTGCAAAATGTTTTTTACGTCCAGCTAGAAATCGTAAAAATTTACATATAGCTTTATTTACACATGTAACAAAAGTTATTATTGATCCAAAAACAAAAAGAGCTATTGGAGCTGAATATATACGTGATGGTAAATTTCATAGAGTATTTGCAAAACGAGAAGTAATATTATCAGCTGGTGCTATAGGAAGTCCACATCTTTTAATGTTATCTGGTGTTGGACCACGTGAAGAATTACAACGTGTCGGAATACCAATGGTTAAAGAATCACCTGGTGTTGGTAGAAATTTACAAGATCATATTGCTGTTGGTGGTTTAGTTTTTCAAATTGATTATCCTATATCAATTGTCATGAATCGAATGATTAATATAAATACAGCTTTAAGATATGCAATAACTGAAAATGGACCATTAACTAGTAGTATAGGATTAGAAGCGGTTGCATTTATTAATACAAAATATGCAAATTCATCAGATGATTGGCCTGATATGAATTTTATGATGACATCAGCATCAACTAGTTCTGATGGTGGTACACAAGTTAAAAGAGCACACGGTTTATCTGATGAATTTTATAATGAAGTTTTTTCTGAAATCAATAATAAAGATGTTTATGGAATATTTCCAATGATGTTAAGACCAAAAAGTCGTGGTTTAATACGTCTTGTTTCAAAGAATCCATTACGTTATCCATTATTATATCATAATTATTTAACACATCCAGATGATGTTAATGTATTAAGAGAAGGTGTTAAAACTGCTATCGCATTATCACAAACATATACAATGCAACGTTTTGGTGCACGTTTTTGGAGTAAACCATTACCAAATTGTAAACATTTACCATTATTTACCGATGAATATTGGAATTGTGCTGTAAGACAATATACAATGACAATATATCATATGTCATGTACTGCAAAAATGGGACCACCAAATGATCCAATGGCTGTTGTTGATCCACAATTAAGAGTATATGGTATTAAAGGATTACGTGTTATTGATGCTAGTATTATGCCAACAATAACAAATGGTAATATACATGCACCAGTTGTTATGATTGCTGAAAAAGGTGCCGATATGATTAAAGAATTATGGCTTAAAGATTATTATGTTCGAGTGAAACGTAATAATATAACATTAATAAATCCAGATTATACTGTAAAGAATGCTGAACATGATGCTGCTGTTGCAAATGGTGATTACAATAGATAATAAAAGATTTTTGTTTTAGAATTTTTAGGGAAATGACTAGGAAGTAATTTTATTAAAAAAATTTTTTTATTGAAAATCATTTAAGTTGAATGGAATGGAAAATTTGTCAGAATGCATGAGTGTGAATATGTGAGTTTACAAATTAAATGAAGAATCTTAATATTTAGGCATTAAATTATTCGTTCTCCAGTGTTCAAAATTATTTTATTTTAATTTAATTATAATTTTTATTAATTGCTTAATTTTTTTTGAAAAAAAATGTTTTAAATAGCTTTAATAAATTTAGATTCATAAGTCATTTGTAAATAAATTCATAGTTCGTTTTTGTAAAAAAAAAAAAATTTCTTTTCAAAATGTTAATTTAATTTAATTTAAATTTAAATCTGTTATTTTAGTTGTTAAATGTTAAAAATTGAGTCATGTAATTTTTAAGAAATAAAAACAAAAGGAGTAGAATTTTTTTCAAATTTCAATTTTCTATAAATTTATTTGCGAGGAAAAAAAATGCATCAAAATACAATTGCCCCTAAAAATATGCAATGAAAATATAAAAAATTCAATGTATCTTATTTGCCTAATTGTATGCAATTTTATTTTATTTTTAACAAAACTCATTTACAAAAAACATCACTCAAAAATTTTATGATCTTGTGTGGTGAAAATTTTAATTTGCTCAATAATTGAGATTTTTCATCAATTTTCATAAATTTCAATGTGATAACAGTAATATGACAGTAAAAATAATTTATTTTAATATTTTTTTTTTAATTTTATTAAAGAAAATCAGTTCAGTTAAAATTTTTGGAATTATTTTAATAGTTTTATGAGTGCATATGTGCATAGCAGTAAAAAAAGAAGTACGTATTTTTAGTCATAACATTTGAAAATTTCGGAACATTAAACCAAAAGTTGTGGAATTCGACTTGAAATTTATTTAAATATTTCTTAATTTCAACCAAAACTAGAAGCTCGCTAATCTTCTTATGCGATTAATCTATATTTTAATAAATTCACTCGATTCTAGCCTTTAAAATAAATTTAATTTTATTTTTATAAAACTTAATATTTTTATGAATTTCTACATCTGCACCTTAACAATAGATTTTCTTCTCTAAAATATGATGCTTTTGAAAAAAGAAAAAAAATCTTTTTAAAGTTAAAATGTCCACAAAATCTAATTATTATTAAACAATAACATTGCCATGACCTCATTCTAAAATAAGGAAAAAACCACTTGGATTATTTACAAAAAAAAATGTTTTTCTCTTTGAATTCAACAGAACAAAGATTTTTGAAAACAAAAACAACCCAAAAATAAAAACTCTTTCTTCTTTTTGTTCTCATAAGTTTATTACGTTGTCTATATAAAGGACACTTAATATCCTTTTTTTGTCATATCATTTTTTTATTGTATGAAAACTAACAATAAAATCTCATTCACTAAATATATTGTTGAATAGAAAAAAAAAAACTGTAAAAGTAAAGTGTTGTAATATGTAGAAAACACAAAAAAAAAAACATAATTAAAATCAGGACAATAGACAGTAAAAAAAAATTTAACAAAAATAAAAACTACAGCAAATAATTGAAAACAAACACGATGCAGAAGGAAAACATATAAGAATTGCAAAAACTAAATTGCATTTGTAAGAAAATAAGGATTTAGGCATCATGTAATTTAGGGTGTGGGCTACTTTTAAAAACAAAAATTGAATAGTTGATAAGTTTAAGAGAAAATAAATTCATTTCGGTACAAAAATTTTTATGAAAAAAATAAATTAATTAAAGGATATTAATCATTTTTATTGCATAGGTCGTGAATTAGTAAAAAATCATACAATTTTTCAATTATTACCGTAGCTACTACTATTAAAGATCTACATATTTATTACGGATAAAATGACAATTTACGAATAATATGGCAAAAAGCATTCTTCTATAAGCATTTAAAAAATTTCTATTTGGCCATTTACAAGTCAAGGATTTTAGTGGAAAACTTCTTTTACCACCTGTTACGGTTTTGGTTTGATTATTGATTTGTCCTCAGGTTTTCGCTTCATATTCCTGAGATTTTAATCTAATATTAGGTTTCAAAAAAAAAGCTTCAACTTAACACTTAATTATTTATCAAAAATTGCAAAATTCTTTGATTACAATGATATAAATGTTACTCATTATGTCCAATAATTTTTTTTAACTGCCTACTTTACCTTCGGAGTCAAAAAGAGGAAAAATTAAGACAATTTACATAAACAAGAATTTTCAGCCCCCAAATAAAAACATAGAAAAGGACGGCGAAAAAAAGAGAATTTCCTCTATTATTTTAATCACCTCTATTTCTTCTAAGAACAGCTTTTTTTAATCGTATTTGATTCTATTTACTCTTAAATCTGATCGGATCGAGAACTGCTGTTCAACTCCCTGAAGGATGTCTCCGGTTTCATACTTGGAATGGGAATATTGTGTGTTTAAATATTAAGTTTATTTTAGCTTTACAATTTTAAGTTGAGACCCCTTTTACAATAGCATCAAATTCTTCATCTTCTTCAATAACTTTTTAATTTTTTTCATATTTATTCGAAAGTGATGAAAATATAATTTTGAATACCACATTCAGAGAGGGTAAACTTGACAAATCAATAAGAACAAATCACATAATTTGCTATATATGTAAAAATGATTAAAACAACAAAATTTTTTCTTATTATCCTTAATGATCCTAAATGTCTCACTTATACTAAAGCAAATACTTAATAACTAAAATACAGAGACACATACAAGAAGGGGATAATAAACATAGAAGATATTTTTTTTTAATGTAAGTAATATTCATGTATATAAATGTTAAATGTCTATAATATTGGCGCCATTTCAATTATTATCTCTTTCGTCCTTTATATTATAAAATACTTTTTATTGATAGGACGAAGGATAAAATATAATAGTTAAAATTAATCTAATTTTTTTCGTTCTATTTTTTTTATGGTACGATACGCACAAGTAAAATTAATGAAAACTAAAAATTTATATATTTGTTTGTTATATAATTGAAAACAAGGACATTTTTTTATAATAGTTAAACCAGTAAATTATAAGATAAATTTATTTGAATAAAATGGTGAAAAATTAATTAATAAGGTTTGATGGTATTCCAAATTCTGTGTATATCAACATGAGGTGTGCATGAAGTTACAATAGAATTTGGGCACGATACAATCTCAAAAGAGTTATTCATTGAGTTATAGGTAACCAAGTGAGAAAACAATGTCTAATTCAGAATTTGTGTATAAAAGTAAAAATTCTAATTAATTTGAATGTAATCGAGTAAATCATTCACCTACTTGTCACGCATCATATGTACACAGGACAATAAATTGTTCACATCACTAGAATTTCTATTTTTCATGTAACTCATAGTTTGTGTAGGTGAATAGGAGTAGAACCATAATTTTTGTAAAAATGTATTTGAAATTGTATAACTCTATGGAAAATACAGGGCTTCTTCAAAGTCTCTCCATTGAACTCGATTTGGAGCCAATCGTTTTGCTTCTGAACGTGTCATATTGGAAGTGGCGGTTTCTTTTTTTATTATTCCTTGCCATGTATTCTTGGATGGTCTAATACTTCTTCTCCCTTGATGTTTTCACTCCAATCAATTTCTATTTTGTAATTATTTTGGATGGCCGTCGCAATATATCGCCAACCCATTCCCATTTTTTCTTTCTCATTACTCTAACAATAGGCTCTTGATGTGTCAAAGCCCAGAGGTCTTTGTTACTTATTCGTTTGGGCCAAAATACTCAGCAAATAATTGTCAGGCTTCCATTTATTAATACCTTTATTTTGTTTGTATATTCATTTTTCGATAGTCATGTTTCCGACTCATACATTAGCACAGATCTAATACACTTCTTGAATATTCTTAATTTTATATTTTTATTTGAGTGTGAAAATTTCCAGATAGCCCATAATCTGCCAAATGCCACCTGAACCAGCTACAACCTATTTTCTCTGTTTTCTTTGACCCCTCTGGTTGTCAATATTATACGTTACTGCTGAGATAATTGAATTGTTTGATATATTATATTGGGCTTGCATTTATGACGAAGTGGAAATGATTTGTGGTGTTTATTCGGAGTAATTTTCTCGTGTTATTTTTCAGGCCGATTTTTGCCGCTCTTGTATACAATCCATTCAGTTTTGCTTGCATGTCTGAATGAGTGTGTGCTATCAGAGTCAAATACATTTAAATATTGAATATAATATAACTTAATTTATTGATAGACTTTAATAATTTCGCATTTTAACAATATTTTTTAAATACATTCTCGTAATTATATTAAAACAAATTTGGTGCATCCTTAAAGTATGCAAAATTTTTTACTTAATTTTTTTCATATCAATAAAATTGTAACATTTTCAAAAATTGGCTATTTTTCATTTCTAAATCAGATTTTCATAGCATCCATTAAAAATATCAAATAATTTAAAAAATTATTTTGACTAAATTTTGTGAATTTGAATGATTAATTATGGCGTTTGTTCAAATTTAGTCGCCATCATATTGATTTTTTTTTTTATTTTTTCTAGTTCTATTTCATTTTTATTCTTCTTTCATTAAAATTTTTTAATTCTATATACATATTGTCCATTGTCTACTATATTGTCTTTTGTTATACAAAATTTCACTAACCACTTCAGTTTATTTCAATAAAATTATGGTATAAAAATAGAACGGTCGCCTACATTTACATACAAACAAAACAAATTGGATTTTAAACAAAGAAGATGAAACTCTAAGGAATAATAGAGATTTAGAAAATTTCGTAAGTAAATTGAGAAGAACCTTTAATTAAAAATTTTTGCGAGAATTTCATTCAACTCGACGGTATAGTCTCTTGTTTATGAAATAATCATTTTTTTTCTATATTTTATGGCACAAACTATAAAAATTTTATATTAAAGTCTTTATATAACTATATT